TCTCATGTCAACAACCAAAAATATAGCCCCCGTATCATCACAGAACTGGCACTATTTATCCTCACACATAACTACTTCAGTTTTAACAATGAGGTTTGCCTATAAACCATGGGCAATGCAATGGGCACTAAGATGGCACCCCAATATGCTAATCTGTTTATGGTAGATCTTGAACAGAGATTCCTAGAGATACAACACACCAAACCATACAAATATTATCGCTATATCGATGATATCTTCATAATTTGGACTGAAAGCAAAGAAAAACTGATACAGCTCCATGACTCTTTCAACACATTCCATCCATCAATCAAACTAAAAATTGAATATTCCACTAGATCTGTGAATTTTCTGGACACCACTGTGACATGTAACAATGGCACAATTCACATCTCGGTTTACAGAAAACCCACAGACAGGTGCAGTTCCCTACACAGCTCCAGCTTCCACCCCTCCCATACTAAACAGGGCATCATCTACAGCCAAGCCACTAGGTACCATCGCATATACTCTAATCCTAATGACCGTAATTCCCAATTAAATGTACTCTCCCAATCTATGAGACAGAAAGGCTACAAACCAAAGACTATTACCAAACAAATCAACTCTGCTGTAAAATGCCACGGACACACCTGCTAAAGTACAGAGAGAGAAAAATATTTACACAGATACTGCCACTTGTGGTCACCTACAACCCAGCTCTTGAGGAAATATGGAAAATCATCAAAGACCTACAACCAATATTAACAGAAGATGAGACTCTGAAAAACATTTTCCCTGAAACACCCATTTTGGCCTTCAGACAACCACCAAACCTCCAACAAAAATTAATCAACAGGAAGCTGCCCACTGATGGTAATGAAGAAAATAGGACCAGTCAATGCAAAAAAACTTGCTGCAAACTGTGTCAGCACATATGCACAGACAACACAGCCACACACAACAATAAAACCTACAGCATTAAAGGTTCATACTCCTGCACATCCATCAATGTGGTATACATGATTCAAAGCACCAAATGCCACCTAGGATGCTACATTGTGGAAACCACCCAGACATTAAATGGCAGAATGAATATGCACAGACACTCTATTAAACACCACAAAGAAGAATCCTACTGCACTCCTGTGGGACACGACTTTACCCAGCCTGGCCACTCACTAAAGGACCTAAAAATCAAAGTACTGAAAGGGGGTTTTAAAAATACACAGGAAAGAAAAACTTTTGAAGCCAGAATGATTAAATGGTTTAACAGCAAGAATAGAGGACTAAATATTGATTTGGGTTTCCTGTCCCACTACCAACACTTTACATGAACACTCTCCCAGCATTATCTTACTGTTCTGTCATATGTATCAACACTTTAAAATGCATTCCTATATGTTTATTCTATCTATATACAAAGTACAATGTATAAACCTATGCTTTCCCATACTCTTATGCATGTATGCTTATATATAGGACTGTGCATTTATATTTGTGTATATGAGTTCATGTGCAAAGATATTTATGACCCTCTGCAAAAATGGTGTCTATTTTCTAACACACCTGTGTCTTATCTACACTCATGTCGCTTTAACCCCTGTATCACAACTCAACTTTGAATTCTATATATCCTCCTGTTTGGCTGCTGTTGAGATTAGTGCGCACGATCAGTGAGGTCAGACTCTTGCACGAGGGCAGGGAAAGAGAGCAAGTGGTGTAGAAAGGAGAACTCGAAGACAGGAGATGATGGGGAAGAGAGAGGAAAGATAAGAGGGAAAAAAAAGGGGTGATCTTGAGGAGCACCAGCTTTGTGCCCATGGTATTCTTGGATCCGGGGTGTTCCGTGCAGTTCGGTGTCACCAGCCCTGGGGCGCGGTTGGAGGTGGAGGGGTACCCCTCACAGGCCCCACCCCCCGGCCCTCGCACCCTGCCTCACCACGTAGGCCAGCCACGGCTGCCACCTCTCAACATCCCTCTCTTCCATACCTATCAACGAGGCGTGTATCGTTTCCGCCCTGTATATCTCCTCCACCTGTTCCATCCATAGTCCGATCGTCTGGGTTACATCTTGCTTCCAGTGCAGTGGAATCAAAGCCTTGGCGGCGTTCAGCAGGTGTCGGAGTATGGACTTCCTATACATCCCGATGGTGTCTGTTGTAGAGTGTAGGAGAGCTGTCTCTCTGTCGAATCTGCCGTCCGTCCCCAGTATTTCCTCAGTTCGTCGTTTGACATCGTCCAAAACAGTGTGATGCGTGGGCATTCCCACCAGATATGGAAGATCGTTCCTCGTCCCTCTCTGCATCTCCAGCATGTGTCGGGTACCACCGGGAAGATTCTGTGCAGGCTGTCAGGTGTTCTGTACCAGAACGATAGGAGCTTATAATTGATTTCCTGATAGTTGGTGTGGTGGAACCAGCCTCGCCACTGTCCACTGGAGGAGCCTGGTTGCTCACCTGCTCCCTTTAGACTATGGTCCAGCATTTAAAAACCTTTTATTTTCCCTGCAGAAAGGCTTATTCGTGCCTTTCTGCAGGGGTGTTCGGTAGATTCAATCTACCGAACAAAGTACCGAACGATCGACCTCCTGGGAACTGGAGTGTGCCGTCAATTGACCGCCCAGAAGCTGCGGTTAACCGCAGCTTAATTGACAAACGCTGGGTGGCCTTTGTTCGTTTGCCGAACACGTGGCAGCGGCCATTTGAACTCCCAACCGGCCAGCGGTGTTCAGCGCCCAAACTATGGAACTGGAAATGGACACTTATTTTGGCGAACACCACTGAGCCGCCAACCTCCTTACCTCTGAATTCGGTAGTGTAACCGAATGCCTGTTCATTCGGTAGTTTAACCGTATGAACAGCATCCCCCCAGATAGTCATGCCGTGGAGCCTATTCGTGTAACGAAAGACTATGACAAAGACTTTGGCTCCATGGCGATTGAACTGTATGTGATCTGAGCGCCATTCGGTAGTGATGTGCACTCAGATCTAAGCTATCTGGGGATAGGTAGAATGTATATGTTTTGTGTAGTAAGTGTAACATTTAATTTCTTTTATTGTCCTTTGTCTCCCATGTGGTTAATGGAGTTTTGCCTCTGTCCTTTGAGATAATTGGATTACTTCCCAATTATCTCCAGGACAGAGAGGAGGGATTGTGATGCATTGTGGGATTGTAAGCTTGTGTATGGTCAATGTCCAATATGTATCCCAATCTTCCATCTGGTCCCCTAGGGGAGTGTCCACCAGTTGGAGACCTGCATAAAAGCTGGGCAGGTAGCCCCAGTAAACCAGTTCTGCTTGATCCTCAAACAAAGTGTCGTCTTGTTCTTGGGGGGAATTGGATTGTATGCTGTTACAGTGTGACTGCCAGTAGTGTAAACTGTTCGTATGGTTTTTCCTGTTCAGCTGTTTACAGCATTCCTGTGTTTCCTGTTCGGGAGTTGGAGTTTTCATGTGTTTGCAGTTTGGGAGATTGGTGAATTTATGTGTTTGCAGTTCGGGAAATTGGTGAATTAGTGTGTTTGCAGTTTGGGAGATTAGTGATTGCAGCAGCTGCCTGTGCATCTGAAAAAGGGAATATCGCCTAAACGTTTTTTAACCTCTTTTGTGCAAAACGGTCCATTACAGTTGGCACTAGAGGAGCATTTGTGTTGTAGGACCAGGATCTTTTCCTATTGAGTTGCAGTGAATGATGTACCTAGAATGCTTTCCCAGCGGCGACAAAAGGTGTCTGCGTTCTCCAGGTGACCTACAAGGAGGTGTTGACTTGGCTAGGCTGGTCCTTCGGTCACAGAGTGCCTCAAACCACATTAGGTCCCTCTGTAGGGCTTCTCTGTGCGGTAGGGTTTAGTAAAAATATTTAATTTGTGTGTAGTGGAAGATTTGCATTGTGGATGGTTGGTTGTTGTCTTCAATTCCCGCAGTGGTAGTATGCCTGTGTTATTCAGCGTCTTATAGATGAGGAGGGATTCTCCTCCACCTAGAATACTCCAAGATGTATACTGTCCACTCTTACTTTGGCACTTGGGCAATGATATAGTGCTCCTATCCACTTCATTATATTCTCCCCGAAGCCCATCTCCTGCAGCGTAGCCATAAGGAACGACCAGTTTACCCGGTCAAATGCTTTCTCAGCATCTGTGGAGAGTAATAGGAGGTTGTCTTTCATCCGCTTTGCCAAGTTTTGGATGGATTGGACCCTAAGAGTACTATTCCTGGCCTCGCGTCCGGGTATGAATCCCGTCTGATCGGGTGGACCAGTTTTGGCAGTAGGCCTCTGATCCTGGTGGATAATATCTTGGTCACTAGTTTTACATCCACATTGAGTAGGGAGATTGGCCTATAGCTGCTGCATAGTTCAGGGTCTTTCCCTGGCTTCGGGAGAACCGTGATTGTAGCTGCCAGTGACTCCTGGTGGAACTGAGCATCCTCGATGAGAGAGTTGAATGCATTGGTAAGTTTTTGAAATAAGATGTGTTGGAATTTCTTATAATATTCTAGGGTGAAGCCATCTGGGCCTGGTGCTCGACCTGTTTTAGCTGCTTTGATCGCTCCTGCCACCTCCGCCTCTGTTATCGGTACCTCCAAGTCCTCCGATTCCCTTCATTGCAGTCTCGTCCCCACATAGGTTTCAATGTAGTTCCGCATTTTTTTGTTTCTATCTGCTATCTCATTTGGTTGTGTCGGTTGCGGAATATTATATAGTGAGGAGTAGAATGTTCAAAATTCAGAGGAGATCTTATCTGTAAATTGTGTGATTGTGCCATCAGCTTGCCGTAGTCTGTTGACCTGGGCTAGTCCCTGAGGACCTTTAAGTATGCTGGCCAGTAGCCTCCCACCCTTGTTAGTATGTTGATAAAAGAAGGCCTTCGAGTGTTGCAATGAACGGTAGTGACGGGTCGTCATATGTGTTTGAAGCTGTCTCCAGGCTTCCAGTAGCTCCACGTATGTCGACTCGAGGTGGGATCTTTTATGCTGTGTCTCGAGTGCAGTTATGTGCTCCACAAGGTCGGTTATTTGTCATCGATATTCTTTTCTCTTTTTGGAAGCCAGGTGCATCAGTGTTTTTCTAATAACGCTTTTATGCGCCTCCCAGATCGTGATTGCGATGTGGTCTTCTGGTGTGTTGAGCGTAAAATATGAAGTGAGTTCTTCGGAGACCTGTTCCCTTACTGTTAGGTCAAGCAGTAGCGAGTCTTGGAGCCTCCATGCCCACGAGGTTGGGCGCATCCTCGGGGAATCTATCTTCAGAATGACTGGTCCATGGTCGGACCATTGTGCAGCTCCTATCTCCGCTGTTCGAATTGTCGTCAGCAGTTCTTGTTCTATTAATATATAAACTATTCTCGAGTAGCGTTTGTGGATCATGGAGTAATGGGTGTATTCCCTGTCGTCGGGATGCATTGCGCGCCAGCAATCCACCAGTCGAAGGTCCCGTGAGCACCTTGAGTTATGCAGCTGTATCCCGTGGACGAGTCGGTAAGAGGGTGTAGTGGTACGTTGAAATCTCCGCCTAAGATCAAGGTTCCTTCTGTAAAGGAGGAGAGCTTGAGGAGGGTTTTGCATTGGGCTTGGTTATTGTTTGGGACGTAGATTGTTGCAAAAGTGTATCTGTATCTTGAATAGCTCCTTTAAGGTAGAGGTACCTGCCATTTGCATCCGACAGTCGGTCTGCTTCATGGAATTGTAGCTTTGCTCCTAGGAAGATAGCTACCCCCGCGCTGCGGGCTGTTGGATGGTTACTACAGGCGGCATTAGGATAGTGCTTACTTTTCAGCATTGAAAAGTGCGTCTCTTGCAGGAAGGCTATAGATATACGTCTGATGTAGAGGTCCCGTAGGAGTTGTGTCCTGCGCTCCGGGATGTTGAGGGGGTCATATGTCGTCTTTTTAGGAGACACAGTGTGGTCTTGGTGGGGGCTAACCTTGCCTATATCACAGTCCCCTCTGGAGTGGTAGGGGGCGGTCCTGTGGGGGCAGTATGAATCAGTGCAGATCGTCATGCATTGCTGTATGGTGGGGCGGGGAGAGAGCACATCGTAACTTCGGGCTGGGGGGTTTAGACCTGTAAATAGGGGTGTCTGCCCGTGAAGGTTAACTACCCATTCCGGTCAAGTTATGCGCGTCTATTGCTCGTTGTAAGGGCCAGCGTGATGTGGAGGTAATGGGGGGGTTGCCAAGTCACCGTCACCAGCAGCGGCTCATGCTGGGTTTTTTGTATGACACGGGGTGTCAGTTGTCTAGGGGGTGAGCTAGGCCAATGTTATCTGGCTGCCTGAGGTGGGGAAGGTGCATACATGTCACATGGGAAAATGCATAACATACATTACATTTCACCCATCGCATTGAGATCTAAATTTGAGATAGTCGTGTATATAAGAGCCTGTATACATGTACATGGTAAAATGCATAATATACATTACATTTCTCCCTTTGCATGTAGGCCTGGATTTGAGACAGTTGGTTACATAATGGCCTGTATACATTCCACAGTTTCTAGGGTTGCCCCCCTCCCCCCACACATCCCTGTGGAGCTTTGCTATCTGTTTATTTTTCTCTTTTTATTATTTTCCTTTGTTTTCCTTTTCTTTTCCTTTTTTCTCTTTTTTCTCTTTTCCCTCTTTTTTAAATTTTCCCCCATCTTTCATTTTTTTCCTTTTTTTTCTTTCCTCTTCCCCCCTCCCTTTTCCCCCCAACCCCTCCTCGCTTTTGGTGTTTTTTTGTTTTGTTTTTATAGGATAATGATTCATGTAGACTCTCCCACCCTCCCCCCCTCCCCCTGTATACTGAGCTTCCTAATCTCCCCTCCGCCCTCTGTCCCCCCCACCCTCCATAAACCTGTAGTAGAGTGTCCTGCATTCCGCCAATCATGGTCAGTCCAGGCGTAGCCAACAGCTTGAAGGGTTCAGATGTAGTGGGCAGTAGCTTAGATGGAATGATGTCCCATGTCTCGCTGGTTACAGCCATCCTCCTCGCGACATAGCCCCTCCAAGCTAGTAATGCCTGTCCCAGGCCCTCCCTCCCAAAACAGCCCGGCCAGTTCCAGGAGGAAGAAAAAGGGAAAAATGGGGGGGGGGGGGGCAAGTGGGGTCTAAGTCACATGAGGGGGTGATAGACCATGATCTTGACCCCTGTAGTGAGATGTGGAAGCCTTCCACCCGGTCTATGGTAGCAATATGGGCAGATCTATCCCCGTTCCCCACCCAAAGAGAGAGAAAAAAAATAAACAAATAAAAAAAATAATTACAAGTGGCAGACCAGGTGCCCACCCGAGCCGGCCAGTCTGCCGTGGCTAAGGTGTAGCTTATGGATCGCCTTTCACTGTAATTCCTTCATGTGCAGACCTACTGGACCGTCGGGGCACAGGTGGGCTTGTTACCGTCTGTAGCCAGCTATTCTTCTGAATTAGTCGGGTGGGGGGGCATGACGCCCGGGTGGCAGGGCCGCCATCAGAAATTTTGGGGCCCATGACAAAGCACAAGGTCTGGGCCCCCCCCCCACTCCCTCCCGGGCCCGTCCACACCCTACCTAGTCCGCTCACAATGATGCAGGATTGAATGTGGTGTGTATAGTGGAAGTGAATTAGAATGTGTGTAATGGATGTAGTGTTTTGTGCAGTGAATGCAGAGTGTGTGTTTGTGAAGCAGATGCAGTGTGTATAGTGAACGCAGAGTGTATTTGAGTAGTGGATGTAGTGTGTGTACAGTGATGTAGTGTGTGTTTGTGTAGTGGATGTAGTGTTTGTGTGTACTAGATGAAATGTGTTTAGTGGATGCAGTGTCTGTAGTGGATGTAGTGTGTGTATTAGACGCAGTGTCTGTGTATAGTGAATGCAGAGTGTTTCAATTTGTGGTGGATGTAGTGTGTGTACTGTGAATACAGGATGTTTGTGTAGTGGATGCTGTGTGTACAGTTAATGCAGAGTGTATGTTAGTGTAGTGAATGCAGAGTGTGTGTTAGTGTGTAGTGAATGTAGAGTGTGTCAGTGTAATGAATGTAGTGTGTGTGTTAGTGCAGTGAATGCAGAGTGTGTGTAAATTTGTAGTGAATGCAGAGTGTGTGTAAATTTGTAGTGAATGCAGAGTGTGTGTTAATGCAGATGCAAAGTGTGTGTTAGTGTAGTGAATGCAGTGTTAATGTGTAGTGAATGCAGAGAGTGTGTTAGTGTGTAGCGGATGCAGAGTGTGTGTTAGTGTAGCGGATGCAGAGTGTGTCTTGTGTTAGTGTATGCAGTGTGTGTGTGTTGTGTTAGGGTATGCAGAGTGTGTGTTGTGTTAGTGTATGCAGTGTGTGTGTTGTGTTAGTGTATGCAGTGTGTGTGTGTGTTGTGTGTAGTGTATGCAGTGTGTGCTGTGTTAGTGTATGCAGTGTGTGTGTGTGTTGTGTTAGTGTATGCAGTGTGTGTTAGTGTATGCAGTGTGTGTTGTGTTAGTTTATGCAGTGTGTGTGTGTGGTGTTAGTGTATGCAGTGTGTGTTGTGTTAGTGTATGCAGTGTGTGTGTGTTGTGTTAGTGTATGCAATGTGTGTGTGTTGCAGTGTGTGCTGTGTTAGTGTATGCAGTGTGTGTGTGTGTTGTGTTAGTGTATGCAGTGTGTGTGTAAATGTGTGATCTGGGGGGGGAGGGGGAGGAAGGGGCATTTTCACATACATTTTTTTATTGAATTAATTAAATGTTTCTCCCCCCTCCCTGTTTCTTACCTGTGTCCAGGGAGGGGGGAGATTCCATCAGTGGTGGTCCGGTGGGGGCCCCCCCGGCTCCATGTTACCGCAGAGGGGGCCCAGGCAGCACACAGCTTCTCCTCCTCTCTCCTCTCTTCTAATAACTCTCGCGAGACCCGCGGAGCGTTGCCATGGTAACCGGGTCTCGCGAGAGTTATGAGGAGAGAGGAGGAGAAGTTGTGTGCTGCCTGGGCCCCCTCTGCGGTAACAGGGAGCCGGGGGCCCGCGCCTGCACACATAGATCGCGATATTCGCTATCTATGTGTGCAGAAAGGGAAAGTGGTGCCCAGGACTGCCAGAGCAGTCCGGGCCCCCCAGGGCCGCCGGGCCCGTGACAACAGTCACGGTTGTCACCCCCTGATGGCGGCCCTGCCCGGTGGTTCTCCCTGGAGTCCCTCTGTGTCCGCCGGGGTGGTCTCTGGGATCTGGGTTGTCTATCCAGTGGTTCCAGGATCCAATCCAGAACATCTATAGGTGGCAAATCCAGACGCTGCAGCAACCATGGGATTTCGTCAGGCCAGCATGCGGCTACCCACTCATTGCGGTGGCGCGCCTGTATGCTGAAGGGGAAGCCCCATTTATATGAAATATTGCATTCCCTGAGGGCAGCTGTTATGGGTCTGTGGGTTCATCGCGCTTCTAACGTGGCAGGGGAGAGGTCTTGGTATAGAGAGACCTCAGTGCCCTGGTATAGCCATGTGGGCCGTGTTCTGGCGGAGCGCATTATGCGTTCCTTTAGGGTGAAGGAGTGACGGCAGCAAATTAGGTCTCCGGGTCCCCCTCCCGGAGCCGGGGTCTCAGGGCCCTGTGCGCCGGTTCAAAGTGTATCTCCACTGGCGTTTCTCCCCTAGTATCTGTCGGAACAGCCCGGTCAGCAGGACCTCCGCATTCTCTGTTCCCTCCTGCTCAGGTACCCCTCTTACCCTGATGTTGGAGCAGCGGCTCCTGTTGTCCAGGTCCTCCACCTGGCGGTGTGTTAGGGCTGTGTCAGCAGCTGATGTTTGGTGCCGCATGGTCTGGGCCTGTGCTTCCAGAGCCTTTATCCGGCCGCCCTGCACATCTATTTGGGTCCTCAGTGCAGTCACTGCTGAGGTGAGGAATGCTGTGAGGGTAGAGGTAAGAGACTGCAGGTCAGCTTTTGTGACCATGGTACTTGCCAGGCATCTGATCTCTGCTCCAATATCTGCCAGCATGGGCTGCTCCTGGTCTGAGCTGGAGGAGGCCGGGGAAACGGGCGCCATTTTGGATCCGTGCGCTGCGGCTTGGACCCAGCGGGGTTTGAAGGAATCTGTCCATCGGGCCCGAGGAGGGTGTCTTGGGTGCAGCCCTGGGGGTCTGCGAGTGCTCCACTCGCTTTGTGCGCCCCATCAGGGTCCGTTTGCGTGCGGTAAGTGGCTATTAGCAGCGTGGTGGCGAGGATTTAGGCGGCCATGCTGCCCGGATTTAGGCGGCCATGCTACTCAGACCTCAGGCCACGCCCCCAGCTTTGAATTCTATGTGTCGTCTTGCTCAGAAATGCTTCAGACTTGAGAAAGGGAGGTTCCCCCGAAAGCTTGTCATTAAAATTTCTGTTAGTCCAATAAAAAAGGTATTACAAGATACAAATTTTATCTTTTTTTTTTAAATATATATATATATATATATATATATATATATATTGCACCTCCTGTTTTTCCATCTATTTCTCAGTTCTCACTTAATCTGTAAATAAAATTAACATTTAGTGACTGTCAGATATCAATCATCTTTCTCTTTCCAGCAATCATACTTTTTTGAAGCCACAGGTGGAATTCAGGATAATGCTAGGGAATATAATTGTCATGTGGCTTTTTGGTTTGTTTTGGCTCAGAATTCGGGAATTCTGCCAATCACTCGATCAGCCCAAATTCGACTGAACTAAATGAATCCCCAAGTCTAAAACTGAATACTGCACTGTTTTTTGACAAATTGAAATATGCCAAAGAGGATAAAACTTTATTTGTGATGATTCACAACATTACATTCCAACATATTGCACAGGATATTTAAAAACATCACATGATACAAAATAATTGTCTGACTTAGAATGATATGTACAAAATATACTCACAGAAATATGTCATCTTCACTTGGGCACAGTTCTTATAAAAAAAAAAAAAATTGTGCCCAAAAACATGGTTTATTTCTGGTCTGATACAATATTTTCCTATTGATTAAAACACTTGACCTTTTTCTGTGCTATGTCATGAGATCAGAATGAAGACGTATTGTATGCCAATGGTATTCGTAATTAATGTCTGATTGCATTTTATTGATTTGGAAGCATCTATCTTTATTAAAACAGCAAACATGTCTTCTTAGAAAATTAATAACTTAAGCCACAGGACAGGTCTGTTCTTTTGCGAGATGTTCTTAAATTGTTTAAATCTGTATTAGAGTGACTCATTAATCAGCGATACGCTGTGTTTCTAGCAAGATCCAATTATAGAAAATTTACATACAAGGCTTTTCTGACATGGGAAATGTAAGGTGTTTCTAATGTAAAATGTTGTGGACAAGAAATATGAAATCTTCAGAAAACAAAAACTGTTTTTTTTGGGTGAGGTTTGAAAATCCACAAAAAGTAAGAATTAATAAAATTAATTTTAGGTCAAAATAAAATAAGAATATTTTTGTAATTTATTTTTTTCTTTATTTTATGATAGTTTGAATTGGAATAAAGTATAAGAGCATGTAATTTATTAGCCATACACATTGCTTATGTTTTGTTTTAGAAACTTCCCATTGTCTATGATATTATGTAGCTTGTAAAATGCTTCTTTGATGATCTTGTTTAAACTTTTTTTTTGTTTCATGCAGTTCAGCATTATTATAGCTATAAAGTGGAAATGTCATTGATAATGGGCATTTTATAATTCAAGAAATAAAAAATAGTTGCTTGCATTATTTTTTATTTGAGTCTAAATTGTTTTACTTAGATTAATTTAACAGTAATACATTTATTTATATTCAGAGATTTAAACAAACAGAGCATTTGGAACACTCCAAGCACTGTAACCACTAAAGCCTACTGTTTTTGTTATGGTGCCAGGAGTACACTGGCGCTGTCCCACTGTAATTTGTCAAACTGTTTTAGCTTAACCTGTGCCCCCTGTTCTCCTGATGCCCACACTATGTCAGGTTCTCTCCTGCAAGAGAAGCCAAAGTTCTCATAAGCCCAGATGATACAGGATGATGTTCATGGGCTGAAAGCACTCAGCTAATGTTCTCAGTCAGTGAACAGGGTCCTGCATGGCGCAGTAGAGTTAACTGAATATTCCTAAAGGAAAATCCCAAACAGGATATTTGGCCAAAGGTGCCTGCTACACAGCGGCACTTTATAAATAGAGTATTGTAAATAAAAAAATGTAAGCTGGACTGATTGGTAGATATTTTTATAGAGAGATCTTATATTGATTATTGGAATGACTATACTACAAAGTATCAAAATAGAAATGTAAGAATGCCTGTCAGGTTCTATTAGCTATAAATTTTGTTTACAAATGTATTGTGTTCTGAAACGTGGGGCAATCACAATGGAAACCAGTGGAATTCGCAGGCACTTTAAATTGGTGTCTCAATCCCTTTTACTTCTTTGCAGCACTTGTCAGAACCACATGTAGAAATTGCCACTTTTATAAATTAACCTTGTTACACCTTCCTGGCTTTCAATCAGACAACTTGTTCTGTTTCTTCCTGGTTGGCTTAGCTCTGTTGAGCAGAACTCAAGAGGCAGCAATTGAAGAGAGCACCAGCATTGCAAAGACTTCTCATTGAGCTGCATTGGGAAGTTTGTGATTGGACAGCCACAGAAAATGTGGGCTGGGAAAGAAGTGGAGGGCACGCAAAGGCTTCAGACAAGAGATCTGCAGATTTCAAAAGCTTTTTTTAGATATATTCCAATGAAAACATTTATAATTAAAGGCATCTATGTTTTCATTGTTGGTATATCTACTTAATAGATATTGTTTTTAGCTTAAAGGAACACTATAAGATCAAGAACACAAACTTGTATTCCTGACCATATAGTGTTAAAAAAACATGCTTCCCCCTCTCCTTACCTAACTTAAATAACTAGAAAATTCACCCTATTTCCAGCTCTGCGCAGGACTGCTGGCTTCAACCGCAATCCGACTCCTTGGCTGACATTATCAGAACCGACAATCTCAGCCATTCCAATGCTTTCTCATGATCATCTCAGGATCATCTCAGCGAAGGAGGCGGGGAGGGGAGCGGAGCCAAACACTGCTCTGTCCAGGATATTTCTCATAGAGATCTATTGAATGCATCTCTCTGGGGAAAGTGTAGTATTTCCATGCATAAATTTAAAAATAAATGGGCAGCACTGGCCCAGGAAGCACCTCTAGTGGCCACCTCATGAATGGCCACTAGAGGTGTTTCTAGGCTGCAATGTAAACACTGCATGAGAGGGCAGTGTTTACAGCAAAAAGCCAGTAGGGACAGGCAGTAGACACCAGAATAACTACATTAAACTGTAGTTGTTCTGGTGACTATAGTGTCCCTTAAATTTTGTATTTTAGCAGTAGTGTGTCCCTTTATAGCAAACTGACTGAGCATACAGGTTTAGTGTGATTATTTTTTGCATGTATTAATGCATATATTTGAGCTCCCTCCTTTAAAGTGGCTCTGTCCCCGAAAGTAACTGTAATCTAATCTGTTACTATATAGCTCCCTGTGTCTAAATCTCTTTTTATTTATTTTTTGAGTGCTCCAGTAGGGACTATTTTTCTGCATGTGTAGCATTCAGGTTGACAAAACTTGACATTTGGATGGAACTTAAAATGGCATTGTCATGGCCGCATTCATTTTTTTTAAAACTCCCTTCCCAACTCCATAATTGTCCCCATAGTCACCCCCAAATGCCGCGAGGTCCCCTTTTCACAATTTTTTATCTTTAGATTTTATGCCAGGACCTAGCTCCTTGGCGACTCCATCTTAGTGTGGGCAGATGAAGGCTCAAGAATTGCCTGTCAGAGCACTCTGAATGTTTGGCTTAAACCAATCGATCAGAGCACTCTGAGTCAGATTTAGCGAGTAAGGGCATTATGGAGATTTTAATCTCCCTTAATTACTAATACTAAGTAATTTTTACTTAATATTAGTAAAGTTGGCTGAAAGACCAATTTTCATCTTTCAGCCTTTTAGAAGATAACTCCCTAATACTGTGAGAATTAGGGAGCTATCTACTAATTGGTTGCAAGCTGCAGCTGCGGCACAAATTGAAATTTCATTCATTCCAAAGAAATTACGAACCAAACAAAAAGTACCGAATATCGTCCTGACACAAATGGAGAAACTGTACTCATTGTGTTAGGAAGATATTTGGTGACTTTGCCAGTGCCCTGTCTAAATTATAGGACGTTCGAACAGTAAATGAAGCAACGTGAGAACACAAGAGGAGATATGAGTATTGTGGGGAAATTTCTTTGACCACAGGAAATGGAGTGACATAAGCTCCTCCTTTGGACAAAGAAGGTCAAACGTAGGAAAAATACATAAGACAGTTTAGGTCTTACTTTGTCTTATATTTTAAGGAAAAGTAGATCAGAAAGGAAGAAAAGAAGAACTGTCCTGAAAAAGGAAGAGAAGAGGAAGTGATTGAGGAAAGTTAAGTTCGGCATGATAGTGCTCTTTAAAACAAGGTTCTGTGTCAGTTTGCAATCAAATTTAAAGGACCACTATTGGAGCCCAGACCACTTCAGCTCAATGAAGTGGTCTGGGTGCCAGGTCCCCTTAGTTTTAACCGTGCAGCTGATTTATATTGCAGGGTTAATCCAGCCTCTTGTGGCTGTCTCCCTGACAGCCACTATAAGCTGCTTCCGCAATTTACACTTAGTAAATCGCACTTATCTGATGCAGGATGTCCTCACGGAGTCCAGCGTCAAATAAGATCCCCATTGAGTAATGTTTTTCTATGGGCGGGTTTGAATGTGCACGAGCATCTGGCCGCACATATGTATTCGGCTCCACTCCCAAGCTGTCGTTGGCAGGGGAGGTGAGGTCACCAGTGCCGAAGGAGCCCGGCGCTGGATTAAGGTAAGTGGCTGAAGCGGTTTTAACCCCTTCAGCGCCAAGGGAGGGGGACTCTCCAAGAGCCTACAGTGCCAGGAAAACAGGTTTGTTTTCCTGGCACTATAGGATCCCTTTAACCACAAATCATCAGTAAAATGAAGCCCACAGAAGAAAAACTGCAGACATCATG